GAAGGAAGCAATGGCAAACCAAGGAAACAATATGGAGATAGCTACTAGATGATAAGACTCCCAGGTCAGAAGGCATTAGGGAAGAATGTCTAACTTCCATGTGTAGTTCTGGAAATGATTATATGGCTGCAAGAAAGAAATGGTATTGAAAAAGGGCACATACACTCAGAAGCACAAACCAAAGAAAACATGAAATAGTCAAAATGAAAATTAAGTATAGTACATTGGGTGTTTATGGAATAAAAAAACTTAGGTAGACTGGAATTTAACTACAGTGGAACCTCGGTTTACGAACTTAATTCGTTCCGTGACTCTGGCCGCAACCCGAATTGGTCGCAACCCAAAGCAAATTTCCCCATAAGGTTCAATGTAATTACTGTTAATCCGCTCTGGCATGGAGGACAGGGAGGCGGCTATTGCTTGGAGGGAGAGTCTCCCTCCCCACGACCACATGTCAGGGGCGGAAAATGGCCGCGGACCACGTGTCAGGGGCAGAAAAATGGCCGCGGACCACGTGTCACGGGCGGAAAAATGGCCACAGACCACGTGTCGGGGCGGAAAAATGGCCGCGGACCACATGTCGGGGCGGAAAAATGGCCACGGACCACGTGTCAGGGGCGGAAAATGGCCACGGACCACGTGTCAGGGGCGGAAAATGGCCGCGGACCACGTATCAGGGGCAGAAAATGGCCGCGGACCACGTATCAGGGGCGGAAAAATGGCCACAGACCGTGTCACAGGAGGGAAAATGGTCGCGTATCCTGCTCGTACCCCGAGGCGGAGTTCGCAAACCGAGGTAAATTTTTGCGGCCGGAGCTGGTCGTAACCTGAAAAGTTCTTTAACAGAGGCATTCGTAACCCGAGGTACCACTGTACTTTAAATCAGACGTTACATGATATGCAATTCAAGGCATGAATCCACATGAACAAAAGATGACCACACACAAGAATAGATATTAAAAAAGAACATTGCTAAGTATGTACTCCATTACAGCCTGATAAATGCCAAGTGTGTGTACCTTCTACAAACACAGTGTAAGAATTCTATAAGAAACTGCATGAAATGTTAGATGCCACATCAAGAAAGGATACAGCATTACTAATAGATTATTGAAATGCAGAAATTGGAAACATTAAACGGTCTGAATCACATTAAGATTTAGATTAAATAAATGTAATGATACAGGACATCATTAATAGAGTTTTATAAAGAGAATGCTTTATTGCCAACACCTGCTTCAAGCAACATAAATGCAGACTCTATACCTGGACATCAATGGATGGGCAATGTTGGAATAAAATGGACTATATAACAGGAAATAGAAGATAGGGTCATCCAGTCTAATCAATCAGGACACTTCCAGGTGTAGATTATGATTTACACCTGTCAAATACACAGATCAGAAAATTAAAGAAAATAGATGTGCCCACAAGTTATGACTTATAGAATATCAGAATGTAAAATAAGGATCAGGAACAGACTCAGTATACTTAGCTTATATAAAGGAAAATCGAAGTAGCTATGGGAAGAGATGAATGACATCATGAAAACCAAACTGGGAAAAAATATTTTCAGATTTTTAAGGAGGAAAAATCCAAATAACTTTCAGAACAAATCATCATTAGAATTTGGGCAAACGGGAATATGAAAAACCTTGGGCAAAAAGAAGAATGTATAATGAGTTGTAAAAGTAAGCAAGGACAAGGAAAGATATATCAATTAATGTTAACAAACAAACAAAACCAGAAAAAGAAAATGAGACATGTTTTTAAAAAGATTAGAGAAATCACAAGAAAATGTAAAGCTAAGATAGAAATACTCAAGAGCAATCACCGAAGAGATCTGAGAGTATACAGGGTATACAGAGAATATACAGAGAGTAGAAACCTTTTACAAAATGACAGAAACATTTGTAGCAAGAGAATATATTCCAGAATCAACTCAACTCAAACGTTTGGTATAAAAGACAATACACCAGCTGTCAAATGGGAAAGCAGATAAAATACCGACTGAACTCTTCAAACATGAAAAAAAAAAGGCAGTTAAAGTACTAACAGCTGCATGTCAACAAATATGAAACAAGATTATGGCCCAAAGATTGGAAAAGATAGCTGCAAATACCTATACTAAAGAAGGCAAATGCAAGAGAATGTCCAAATTACCAAACCATTATATTAATTTCTCATGCAAGCAAACTTTTAACATTAAGCAGTTACTTATGAGACCGTCTCATCCCAGTGGTGTCTACCTGTCCTGTTAGATCTGGCAGGAGAGGCATGCTCCAGGTCCCATCCACAAGAGAGTGTCATCTAGCGGGACCCAGGAGGAGGGTCTTTTCTGTTGTGGTGCCCATCCCTTGGAATATCGTCTCCCTTGAGATCAGACTTGCCCTGACTCTGCTGGCCTTTCGCAAGGCATTAACAACTTAGCTTTGCCATCAAGCCTGGGGGCCTGATAATGCAGGTGAACCCACTGTCTGGTTATATTGATTGCACAGTGTTTGATTATTCTTGACCGCTATTTTATGCTGTCTTATGTTATTTATCTTTTTAATCACTGGTTGTTGTTTTTTACTTTGTTCCTATTTTGTTTTAATGGTTAGCTGTCCAGAGTTGTATATATGAGTTGGGTGTTCATATACACTTATTAAATAAATAAATGAATAAATAATATTTTACAAAGAATAGACATATATGAAGAGCAAAGTTTCAAAAGAACAAGCAGCTTTCAGAAAAGGCAAACCTGCAGGGATCAGACAGTTAATATAAGATGGATAATCGAGAAAGCAAGAGAATACAAGAAGGATTTTTATCTTTGCTTCATTGACTGTAGCAAGGCCTTTGAACATGTGATCATGCCTCCCAAATGGAATACATTAAGGCTAAAGGATGTGCCAGAACATCTGGTGTGTCCTCTGAGAAATATTTACAAGAACTGAATTTGCAGAGAGTGATGCAGAGAGAATTTCCTAGTGATTGCTAGGAACCCCAATCTAGAGACTACCTTGCAAGCCAACATGCTGTTACCAGCATCCCACAACTAGATAATTTCTACTTTTGCTGGCTAGACCTAACTCACCAAAGTTGGAGCATTGTCCTTGATGGAGCAAAGCAATGGTGAATTCCCAAAAAGGCTGGTTTTCACTTGTTCCCCCAGCTATAAAACTGAGGATAAACATTCAAGGAGGAGGGAAAAACAAAGAAAAAGGAGGAATAATGAGAGCCTGTCTACACACTTTCCTGCAGAAGGCCCAAATAATGTCTTTCCAATGAGTAGGAGCTAGAATCCAAGGGCATATTCAAGGAGGTAATAAGTAACTAGTTTAAGCTGATTGTGTTGATTTTATTTTAAAAGCTCTGTGTGTGACTATTTCCTTCCCTTGTTTTTTCTTAAATTTCAGTTTTGCATCGAATACCTAGAAATTTCTCTTTGCTGGCTTAATATGAGAATTAAACCTTCCACACATGCAAGACTCCTTGTGTTTCAGGACTGATAGAAGGTTTGTTAAGTCCTGAATTTCTGGGTGTTGGGCAGCAAGATCCAGAGAACTTCCCTTTCTAGTTTACTAGGTTGACAGGATATAAGACCTTGATAGAGGGGCTAAGATCTCCCTGGCTGCACAGACTAGGGATTGTCAGATGGTTCAGCCTGACTAGTGACAACACACTGTAAGTATATTTTACTGGGGAACCTTTGGAAGAAAGGGTCTGTCAGCGGGGTCTTAAATTATCTCCCCTCTTTGTTTGTTATAGCAGGTCTCCCCAGTCTCATAACTATTTCCATGACAACAAACATCAGAATTACAAAAGTGATTTTCCCAGTGATAATATATAGTTGTGAAAGCTAGAGTTACTAGATAGCTGAAAAGGCAAAGGAAAACATGGACAATTGGAAAGGACACAAATGGAGGAAAAGAAGGACCCACTGTTTAACTTTCTTGGCATCCACAAGAAAAATTGCAGTGAAAAACTGCAAAAAAAATGTACTTAGTATACATACTGTATATATGAAATTAATTTTTCCAGCATCAGAAAAACTGTTGCTTTTTTCAATTGCAGGAATGTGCTAGAGCCTTCAGCATGTAACTGATTAAGGTCTTGTCAATTTCAGGCAACAGCTCAAGCCAGCCCTTGGGTACTAATCAGGGTCACAGAGTGGACCTTGTTAAATTGCAGGTAGCACTTACCTAGGGCAGCACTGTGCCACAGAGAAAAAGCTGGACACTACAGTATTTGATTTCAAGGCTATGACTGCTGGACAGAGGACTTGAGGACAAAAAATTGCCTACTGAAAGCTAGACATTGAGAAAGAGCAAGAGGAACAAGACATAAGCCTTCAAAATTTGGATTAGGAGATAGTTATTAAGAGTCCCATCTAATACAGCAGCCAATCAGTCAGTCCTGGATTAAATAAAGGGTGTTTCCTTGAGAACAACAAACTCACATATTTGGGGCATATGATGCCAGTAGATGGAGGATTAGAAAAAATGCTTACATTAGAGAGGTTGAGGGAAATAGAAGACAACAGACATGGTAAATGGATGAGATCAAAAAGATTACTGGAATGCCCATGGAAGAGTTGTAAGTAATTGGCAGAGACAGATCAAGGTAGTAACTCACTATGCTGTAGTTAACCAAGAGCTAAATCTCACATGAATGACCCTACATCCCATGTGGATCTGGGCAGCTTGGCTGGCTAGGAAGTATGTCTTTCAGATCCTGACCATATTTTTGCCTTGAATGGGTAATAGAATGTGGTTCTATCATGGTTTTAGGTCTTATTAGGGGGTAACCATTCTTAAACAGTCTAATTTATCTATAACACATCTGCCTCAGACATTATTTCATTTTAACACATCATCTCACCATTCTGCCCTAATTTTTACATCATCTGTTCCTTTAAAAAAAAAATCTTTGGAAGCAATTCAGATTCTAGGAATGTGTTTCTGACTATCTAATCACCTTTGAAAAAGTCTATTGCGGGCTATATAAAACATACGATGTATCCTGATGATTACCACGAACTCCATACTTTAAAGGAGAGTGTGAGAGATGGATAAAATATGTTATTTTATTTTTTTGTCTGCGCTCAGTCATTGCTGAACCTGGAGTGACTGCTTGGACGAGTCCTTGCAGTTTTCAAGGCAATTGTTTCAGAAGTGGTTTG